TGTCACCGGCTTTTTCGGCAAATGCTTCTAACTAAACAAATTAAGACTGGACGCCAGAATTGTTAGGGGACAACCCTTCAAAATTCCAGGTTTCTAGCTTTCCTGGCTCCTGAGTTAGCAAATTACTGGGAAAAAATTTACGGTCCCGTGCGTGTTTGCCACGCATACCCGAGAGCTGGGTTTGAGCTGAATGAAACTTAGGTGGACGGGATATATCCTCTTAAAATTACAGTTTTTCAGTTTCTCAGATCCCCGAGTTATGAACTTATCCGTGAAAAATTTTGGCGGGCCCGTACGCGGACACCACACTTACCCGAAGGCTGGGTTTGCGCTGATTCGTACCTGCTTGGACGGGGAACATTCCCCTAAAATTTCAGCTTTCTAGCATCTCAGAACTCCGAGTTACGAATCTGCGCGGGAAAAATTTTGGGGGGCCCGTATGCGGGTACCACGCTTACCCGGGGGCTGGATTTGAGCTCATTAGTACCTACTTGGACGGGGAAAATTTAAAATTCCAGCTTTCTAGCTTTTCAGATATCCGAGTTATGAACTTACGCGGGAAAAATTTTGGGGGGCCCGTACGCGGCTGCCACGCGGGGTATGGCGCCAATTTTGGGGATTGGGGCCCGTAGGTGCATGTAGATTAAGTCCCCAAAGTTTCAGCCCCGTAGCTTTTGTAGGTGTTGAGATGAAAAACTGTGACAGACGCACACACGGACACACAAACACAGAGACACACACACAGACAACCTCTCGTCAATATGCGTTTTTCGCATTGCTTTGCTGCAAAAAACGCACAAAAAAGCTGCGGCACTATCAAGCGAGACGAATTCTTAAAAATTACCGAGCTATTGAGATCACGCAAAAGAGTGATGTGAAGTTCCAGTATTATCAGGATGCATTCACACGTAACCTTCTCTCTTGAGCTGTCTGCCTCACAAGAACTGGGTACCAAAGGTGATTATGTTGTTGTCCCTGTGAAATGCTTGGTCTTGTCACGCAGCCTATTGAAACAGTG